AGCAAGTCTTAAATTTGGGGATGGAAAGACAAGAATTGTCATATAGCTTAATGTGATGATTAAACTTCAAAAGGCCATGATTTCATTAAATAAACATGATCGCTAATAATTGATAAACGGTTTAAGGCTGAAATGTGAAGTTTGTTTTGTAAAACTTTGTTTTTGTGAAAACCTGTATATGAACTGTAAATCATGCTTTTTACAGTCTTAGAGTTCAATATGTAACCATAGACATTGCCGTTCCCCGCTCGTATGGTATTAGTTTTATTTGTGCTGGTCTCAAAGATCTTAAAAAGTCTTAAATTTGAGCTTAAAAATCCTGCAGATTCCCTGTAAATTGGGGTGCCATTTTAGATAAAGCTGATGAAGTGACTGATGCCTTTTATTTTTTTTTATTGTAGCACTGGGAGTTATTCAGCCCAGAAGCTGACCTTCAACAAAATTTTGGAGTGTTAGAAAATGTTCAGGAATTGCAAGCAGGGGCACTTTTAATACTTAATGACAGGTAATGTTTACTGCATAAATATGATTTGTACGTTTTTACTCTTTAAATAAACCAAGTGTGATTATACGTTGCATTTTCAGTTATAGATCAGTACCCCACTTATTCTTATCTTTATGTTTTAGGGGTTTGCAGTGCTCCTGGGAAGGGTTAGCATTGCTGGACAGCATCTTACCCACAATGCTGCTTGAATTAGAGATGTTTTTCAAAAAGCAATACACGAGCAGAAAGACAGACCTCCAGAGAGACAGATGACAGTTTGCAACAGAGAAATATGAGAAAGAGATTGCACACAAGGCAATAGGTAAAAAGGTAAAAATGAAACAAACTCTCCCATGTGGAGAAACACGTATTCTTGAAGAAGGAACATGGGTCAATGACGTGACACTTTTTTATTATTTATTAATTTATTCACAAATACAGTGTGTTCTTTTCTATGATGAACATGTTTTTAATTTCTAAATTAAGGGTAAATATATAACATAGGGTAAATGTGTGAGAATGATATGATCTTCATATAATATTGAAGAAAAAACTTTAATCCTTGAATGGAAAACAATGTTTAATGTTCGCGTGAAATAGAAAATTACCCTGTTATGAATTCATGTGAACAATTCTCCAGTGCATATGCTTCGTTTTTTTTAAAAAGCTTTTTGACTTTAATCATAATGTCATAACTTCCATTGACAACGACAGATTTCTCTCTGGTGACGTATGAAGGACATCTCCAATCATTTACTGTAGTCCACTTAAACAACACCCACAACTCAAAGTCCAATCAACAGCTATACATTTTTTTTTCTTTGGTATTAATTTGTTGTATTCTGATGTACGTTACAGCATGGAAGAGAAGATCTGCTGCTACTTCCATTTAATTACTTTTTATATTGAAAAATAAAAAAGAATATATGATAAACTTAAGATGTGTACAATTCAAGGTGTATGGAAAAATTTTTATTCACATAAAAATTTTTATTCACGTGTTACATCACATGACACACATTCAGGAGTCTGTAAAAAGATGAACACAGTAAACTAGATGATTGCCTTCTCTGATTTATGACATTTGATGTGATGTTATCCCCTATTATCTTGAGTAATTTGGCATAGAAGTGATTTCTCATCATTGCATCTGCCATTTGAAGTTGTTTTTTTCCAAACCACCCACATTATCAGTTAGAGAGAAGGTCACTGAAGAATCATGAATTATTTATTTTGCTCCGTATTCACAACTATTATTTCTTGTTTAGGCACAATTAAAATATATTTAATTAGCTTAGTTATAATTTTGAAAGTTAGTAATGTAGTTCAGATAACATTTTCAAGCTATTCATAACAGAAAACGCTTCCAACTTAAACGAGCGCTTCGCTATCCATGGTACTGAACGCCTTTTGCGTAACGCTACCAAACAAATAGTTATGCAAATATCCGTGTATGCATTAAAACGTTTGTGCTATGCTTACTTTTCCTACAGTTAAAGTAGGTTATTTCTCTGTAGGCATATTCATCCCTGGATTCATTAATATTCAAAGTCTAAAGGGAATTAATCTCTTTCGTGATTTTCAACACAGCTGCATCGTGTTGTATAATGTATATTATGCAAAGCGTGACTGTACGGTATTGTCAGGGATTCATACATACGAGTGCGTGGGCGCGTTTTCTTACTAATATGAGAGAATTTTACGTTAGCATAGCGATGATGACTCAAGCCACTGCAGATGATGAGGATGGCTTCGCCACCCACACCTTTCTTCCCGTTGTTCACCCATAAATGGTAATACTGTGAGTACACTGGTTTCTCCTTAAGCAGAGTCGTGATACTGTCTGTCTGCAAAACTGAGGTGAGGCTGGGGACATGGTATAAATATAGCTCGGCTCATGAATATTAATTAGGTGACGTTACATTTTCTCATTTGTTCTTCCCGATTTGTGTCACGATCCTTCAGAAATCATTCGAATATGTTGATTTGGTTGCTCAGGAATCATTTCTTATTAGCAGTGTTCGAAATTTCTACAACTGGACGGGACATATTGTTTGCAAGAACCTTGAGTTCAAGAACAAACTCGTGTATTTTGAGAAAAAAACGAGTCAATGTTTTTAGAGACAACTTTTTTTATTGTCTGTAATACAAGACAAAGTGGAAATAAATTTGAGGTAACAGGTATATTTTCAAGAAAAAATGCGTGTCGCTGTGTCTTTTATAGTTAGTATAAGAAATGTGGAAACAAATTTGAGGTAATACATTCACTATAAAGAAATCATGCATACTCGCTTTACAAAATGTCCCTGTTGGAAAATGCAGTTTAAGCTGGTAGGTGCGTTTTGGAACTGTTTTAGCTAGTCAAAACTAGCAGTTTACACCAGCTAATGGCCAGTTTAGACCAGTTACACTGAAAAAAATGGTAACCTGAAAACGGTAACATCTAGGCTATAGGCATATTGACTGGTTTTCAAGTCAACTATATTAATTAACACCAATGAACCAGCCTAAATGCATTCATTTATACCAACAAAACTCATGTTTTTCTGGTAGAAATAGCTATTTAAGGTAACAATTGAAGGTTACCACTTTCTACAGTGTGGTTAACCAGCCACAGTGTTCTAAAAAAACAACTAATATGACCAGCCAATAGCTGGTTTGTTGCTGATCCACCAGTTTCTCAACTAGGTTACATCAGATAATGACCACTTTTGACCAGCTATACCATCTTAAGCCCGATTTTACAACAGGGTTGTAATAAATACATTTCACAAATATTTTGTCAATGTGTAGAATCTGTCCTCTGGTCCAGCCAGGGACTTATAGAATATAATAATTCTTACGTAGTTGAATAATTATTATTCATAGGTTTGAAACAGAGTCTCTAGCGTTACTCTATTACTGTATTTGACACCTCTCAATAGGTGTACTTCGTTTAGGGGTGCTCGGGCCCATCACGCGCCGCAGATCGCTACTAAAACTCGGTCTGCGGGCGAGCGGATGCACCGCGCCACACGGCTCATGCATGGCTCTTTTGTTTCTCTTTCTACTGCTCAGCGTTTGATACGTGTGGATGGAGATATCTCGATGGAGAGAGGGTCTGGTCTCTGTGGGGAGCCCTCCCAGCACCGCCAGGGCCTCAAACATCTCCTCCAGGTTGGTGCAGTCTTTAGCAGACACTTCAAAGAGGACACTGTCCTCCCCGAGAGACTGGCAGATATCGGAGTGCTGCACACCTCTCGAGGTGTTTAAGTCAGTTTTATTGCCACAGATAATAATCGGAAGCTGTCTGTTTTCTTTGGACTTGGTTAGCTTGGATTTGGCAGTGAAAATCTCCTCGCGTAATGAGCAGATCTCCGTGAAAGACTCTCGGTCAGTCACGCTGAACACCAGCAGGAATATGTCGCCTGTTGAGGTCAAAAAGCACGTGAAATGAGAACTCTGTTAACCTGAGGCTATAATTTAACGAATTAAAAAGTAAATAAGTAAAAACACGGTGCACATACTGACCTGTCAGAATAGACAGTCTTCGCTTGGCAGGAAAGTCTCTCTCTTTGGACGCGTCCAGGATGTCTAACTGGTATCTCTCTCCACGGATGTGGTACAGTTTGCTGTGAAAGTCTTCGGTCGTTGGCTCGTACTGTTCCTCGAATCCATCATCACCCAAAAAACGGCGTATAATCGCCGTTTTACCCACTCGGGGGGCGCCGAGCACAACTATGCGTAGGAGATATCTCAATGGAGAGAGGGTCTGGTCTCTGTGGGGAGCCCTCCCAGCACCGCCAGGGCCTCAAACATCTCCTCCAGGTTGGTGCAGTCTTTAGCAGACACTTCAAAGAGGACACTGTCCTCCCCGAGAGACTGGCAGATATCGGAGTGCTGCACACCTCTCGAGGTGTTTAAGTCAGTTTTATTGCCACAGATCATTTGGCTGTGGAAGTCTCCAGTGCGACGCGCACTGCAAATGCATATCAACTGTTGCGGTGCCTTCGGAATGATAGCTGCAGCAGGAGAGCGTCGCGGTGCCATCAACTGAAAGAAGAGCTTTATCAGTTGTGTTCACCTCCATGCCCCTTGCTGGTATCATCCAGAACGGCTGGTGCTGTGGTCGGCAGGACGGCGGTAGGGGACGTGCAGCACCCCGTGCTCTCGGTGCAGTTAGCTGTACGCGGTTCCCGCAGTGCTTTTTATATGCTGATGATGGATGTGTGGTCTCGTGTGGTGCGTCATTCAACGCTTTGGGTTCGTCTGGTGAATCTGAACAATTCTGCTGCCTATTTAAGGTATTGCCCACTGCAGTGTTACTTGGATCTGGGCCATTCTTATGTAGAGCTACAGAGTATTGTCAGTTAAATGCAGCTATAATACCGACTTAGATCCTACTTATCATTACTGATGAAGTAAAAAGTATAAATTTTCTAGCTTAATTTGGACAGAAAGATGCTTGACAAATTTAAGAATACTGTAAAAACTGGTAACCTGCTGTTATCCATTTCTCCCATAAAATGAATTTTGTTTGTAAATTAATGTTTCTCCCCCATGATATTTTGTAAACTGCATTTATGACAAAGAACTGCACAGATGCAGATATTATAACAATCTATCAATAAACACACACCTTGTCCTCTGTTTCTCGCTCTGGAAACCCCCCTATAGCCCCCCTAAAAATGGCTTAGCGAAGCCCATGTTCCAATGTTTTTGACTGCATTTATTACATCAGAAATATAGTAAAATCAATAATATTGTGAAATATTATTACAATTCCAAATATCAGTTTTCTGTTTGAATATATTTTAAAATGTAATTTATTCCTGTGATGCAAAGCTGAATTTTCAGCATCATTACACTTCAGTGTCACATGGTCCTTCAGAAATCTGATCTGAAATTCTGATTTGCTGCTCAAGAAACATTTCTAATTATTATCAATGGTTTTCCAACCAAGATTTGCATGTCACAAAGAAACATAACTAAAAGCCTGTCTGGAACGGTCCACACCGCTCAGGTCTGGAATGCTGTAGAAAGGCAAGCAAAGTGGTACAGACAGTTAAAAGTCCCAGTGCTTTTGTGCTAAATATAAGCACTCTTGTAACACTGCTCAAATAATTAAACAAATGAACCATAACCAATTGTTGTGTAATATTGTTTTTGAAATAGATACGACAATGTGCAGCTCTCAGTATAGAGGCACGAGTTTTTTTGGGGGGGCGGGCATGGGCAAAGGCTAGCGGGCACTAGGCTAACTAATGGACGGAGTCCAGTGGTGTAGCGCAAATCCGCGGCCCCCAACAGCGAACTCAAGGGTCGGTGGGTTGGGGGGCTGGATACGTCGCAATATTGTAAATATTTGTTTTAAACCAGGCGAGCCAATGGATATCACACAAGCAACGTGCAAACTTTGCACAAGAGTTATGCGGTAAACCTCTTAATCTCAGTCGATTCACTAGAAAGTGAAAGTAAAAACTGACGGCGCTTTCGGCATCTGACGCTGCATTAACGGCGCATATTCTCTCAGAGTGACGACGAGAGACGAATCTCCTTCATATGCTGATAACGGTATATAGCAGGGGTTCTTAAAGTCTATATTCAAAGGTTCAAATCTGAATTTTCATCGGTGTCAAAGGCCCGGACCGGAAGTAGACACCGCACACCAAACGACTTTGAACACCTACTGAAAACACTGACTGAGCTCAAATGATATTTCATAATCGGCCTGACGGTAGTGACAGTAGCTTCACAGAATGAACCGGTTCGCGCGTGGAACTGAAAGTCTTACCGTTACTTGCGGACTGATGGACTGGCTCTCTCCGTCGTCAGTGCGAGTTTTTAAAAGTCTTTTTTTTTATAGAATTATGCATTGCTGCTGTTTTTCTAACATTTTCTAACACAGCTGCAAATTACAGTCCAACTGAATGGGTGAACACACGCACGAATTTACATGCGCGACATGCCCGAAACAGCCTGGATAACGCTTGACTAACACTGCTGTCAATCAAACTCATCAAGAATTATGCAAAACATTTGATTTATTTTAGTTATTTGAGATGTTATAATAGTTCTCTAATTGTGTTAAAATAGATTAAACAATAATTATTTAACAAATATTATATTTGTATAATAAACTGGGGGGCTTTCATCAGTGGGTGCTTTCGAGTGCTTTTTGACCTACTTAAGTAGGACTTAGGAACATCTTTATGTGTAATTTCATAATTACTTCTATTGTCTTTGAAATATGGTTAAAGTGAACCTCTGAATGTCCTGACAAACATTTAAAATAAAATATACTTTAATGCCATTTCTATTGAAACTTGTATGTTATTTATTATTAATTTAGTGCACTTATATTAACTTCAAATGTAATATTAAATAACACACTGCAGTTAAAATTATAATCAATTATTTTACATGTGCTTTAGTATGTTAGTCAACACATAATAAGTGTACTTTAAAACATGATAAGATTGCTAAAACATAATGATTTAAAATGTATTTTAAAGTAAAACTTTTAATTTGAAAACGTGGTTAAAATGTGCTTAATTGTCACGAAAATTATGTAATAATTCGAAACATTTAAATGTTCCCAAAAAAAAGGCCCAAATATTTCGGTGAAATATCAGCAATATCAAGAATTATCAAGAACACTCTGGCAATATGAGAGCATCTGCACATCAAGGCAACTTCATTACTTAACTGAAGACAAATCCTCACCTTCTGCTGCATAAACAACACTTACATCTCTGAGAGTCTCAGCTTCATTCCATTCAGCCAAGGCTACTCTGAATGGACTGAATTGGTGCACGGTGTGCTTTGCTTTTCTTCTACAATGCTTACCTTGGAGTGCTTGAGACTAAATGTTCTCCGCTGAGAATGGAATATACATCACCATGGCAACTCTGCACTTTATAACACTGCTTTCCAGAATCTATTCCATAGCTCTTAAAAGCTGAGGACATGCCTTTTGTGAGACATCATAATATCACGCACTCCTCTGTAAGGCCTTGTGTTCAGTTTTATGACCCTGCTTTCCATTGTGCTGAGATGTTCAGAGAACTTAAGGGCACGTATGGCACGCATGTTTTCTCATTAGTAGAATTCACTATAAGTAATTGTATTCACTGAAGATAAAATGTGAAGTTGCCATAGTCTAAAATGATCCATCATTGCTACAATTACTTATTTAGATTAAGTCAAAATATGTTATACTGAGTCAGTTTAAAAAGAGTTCTGTGCACATTGTTCACTTTCTTTACATGGTTGAAATGTCATCTTGTTTCTTGAAAGCAAAATGCATGTTGTCTTAAATTAATGACAAGATCGCATGAACACTCATGAGACCAAAATGCACAAAACACCTTAAAACATCACACACAGACCTGGAAAATGAAATGTGATGTGTAACAATTAACTAACATTTATTTAACAATCAACATCATTTTAACTACAGAACCAAACACATTTTGAAATCAGTAAGTTTGTGATATAAATTATGAGTAACTTCTAAGACAGTAAGTTACAAAATGTGACAACAAAATCAACAACAGTGTAAATAAAACTGTCAAATCACGCAGTGCAACCATATTAATAATTAATGGTGCTGCTCGGTCATTTAAGATTTACAACACTGTAAGTTGGAAATTTCATTTTCAGCTCAAAAGTGCATTTTCACGCTTGCTTAGTATTAAAATATAGTACATTCATTTCATTGAAAAGAAAAAAAATCTGCCATTTCTGACTGCCACACGAGAAGCACCAGAGGGTTAATTTTCATTAATTATAATTAATTATACTAATTAATCTGTAGACCTATTAGAACTAAAAATGTATTAATCCATCTCGCCTGCTCTTCTTGTTGCTTAAATTAAAAAATAGTATATTGCAAAAGAAAACCTTGCTTTAGATTCTTTACTTTTTTTCCTAAAAAAAAAAAAAAAAACTTGCTTGATCATTTTAACACAAATTAATATTCACACTAAGAATAATTTGTATTCTTAGTCTTTTATGTCTGCTACTACTACACAATTGTTGGTATATTGAACTAACACAGCATTATAACATTTAATATGATAATAAACAGAATTTTTTTTTTTTGTAATACAAACCAAGTGCTACCATGTGAGGGCAGCAAAGGCATGATGGGTTTGAGGCCAGCTTGTGTTTCTGCATTTCCTCTCATGTTTGTCAGGCAAAAATTTATGTATTTTTTAAACATTTCAAGAATTTCATGAAAAGATTTCATGAACGTCTGTGCCAGGGGGTGTGATGGGTTTGAGAGTCTCTCTGCTGCTGTCCACCGGCCCTTTAACCTCCTCCTCCTCCACTCTGTCTGCATGTGCACTCTGATGACATCACCGGGCCTTTGTTATGAAACAAAGAAATTGGCCCACAGTCTGTTTTCAGGGAAAATGAAGATGTAGCATGGATAGACAGGAGGAGAGGTTATGTTAAATGCAAAAATAGGTCCATCAAGCAACAATGCGTAAATGAAACATTAAAATAAGTTTAAGTAAAATTCACATTCCAGGGGCTAAATATCACGTTATTTGGGTCGCTTCAACCCGCGGACATGAACAACAACCCGCGGCAACAGTGTTACAGTAGCCCAATTCCGCGGGACAAACGCGGACTTGGCAACACTGCTTATGAAACGACCGCACTATAGCGTTTCTTTGGTTACCGCTGTAAACAAAGCAGAGTTGCGCTTTATACGGAGAAGAAAATGCCATTGCCATCGAAACTTTTCTCAAGACAGTACCCTTCAGTGATACATTAATATAACCCCATAAATGTAATGCATTTTTGTACTTATTTTACAGTTTTTTTCGGGATCTACTGGGACAGTGATAAAGATCTACCAGTCAAACGCGATCGACGGGTTGGCGACCACTGGTTTAGAGCATAAGAAAAAATGCGAAAAATAAAATTTTTGAAAAATGATATTTTATTCATATGTTATGCCATGTCCTCTGTAGAAGACATCGGGACTTTAAAAAGTCCTGTTTTTTTAAGAAATAAAAAGACATGAATAGACATGAAAAGGCAAAAACAGTCGGATTTTTGTTTTAATCACAAATCAATTTAATGTTTTTATACCAAACTTGATATAAAGACGATTCTCAACTATGTTATGAAAGATATTTGTAAAAAACATTTTTCTTTATGCAAAATGTGTGTAAAATGGCCATAAACAAGTTTTTCCATTATATACAACGTATCTATAAACTGTATCTAATTTGCATATTAATGTGTTTTTAGAAATAACCTTTGTGAGCAGCCAGCTTTGTACTCTTCTAGGTTCAAAAAACTGTCGTCCATAAAATGCGTTGCACAAATTCGAACATCTGGGTTGTGCTGTTCTGTTGTAAATAAATCTTAACCAATTATTCCTAATTGCATCTACTTTCGGAAAGCCAAATACAGTGCTTTTGCTTTCGCACTGAAATACACAACGTCTCCCTGACATGGCTGCATCAACACTACTGCTGTTCCTGAAACCACGCCTTCTTTCTTTGCGTGAACATTTGGGCGGCATTATGCTAATATTTCCACATAGTGACGTAGACATGTGGGGGCGTGTTAGAATGAGCCGTTTTAGGTAGGCGTGGTTGACTCTTAACTTTTATAAAGAATATCTCTTTGGATTTGAGACTTTAGTCTTTGCAACTTTACAGATCTTCTTTATGCACCAAGAGCTTGTAACACTCCAAAGAGAAAGGAAAACTTGAAATCTCAGTTTATGACCCCTTTAAAACTGTGACATGTAACGTCTCAGAGAAATCACTAAAACATAATGTCTTCTACAGAGGACAAAACTCCATAGCTGGTAGTCAGGAGGATAGGAAATGTTTTAATAATACACCTAGATTTGCACGAATAACTTTCCTGGCCTCATAACTTGTCCATTTTGCTTGAGATATGGCTTGAAACTCTTAAAAATTCAGCCAGTTCACTTCTCTTTCAGAAAATGTTAGTCAAAGTATGATACTTTGGAAAATGTTGTCAACCACATAATGTCAAACTACTGTTGTATCTGTTGTTTTATTTGACATTTACACTACCATTCAGACAGGTTGGTAAGATTTTTAAATGTTTTTGAAAGAAGATTCTTCTGCTCACCAAGGCTGCATTTATTTGATCAAAATACAGTAAAATATTAAAATATTCTGAAATATTATTACAATTGAAAATCATTTATTTCTGCTTGAAATCAGTTATGCTGCATAATATTTTTGTGAAAATCATTATGACGCTTTTTTTAGGATTTGTTGATGAATAGTACGTTTAACAGGACATCATTCATTTGAAGTAGAAATCTTTTGTAACGTCATAAATGTCTTTACTGTCATTTTTTATCAATTTAATGTATCCTTGCTAAATAAAAGTATTAATTAAATTTTTTTTTAAATAATAAAACTCTTACTGACCCTAAACTTTTGATGGTATTGCTACATATTATTACTAAAATGTCTAAATACAACAGATGTACCTGATTTTATTTCTTGCAATACATGTAAAATCCCCATTTTAAGTATGACAATATCTAACATATCAGATACTCCTTACTTTAAGAATGAAGTATAATAAAAACAATAAGAGTTTGTCTAATTGTAAAAAAAAAAAAAAAACATTATGTGACACGATAGTGTACCCTTTTGTGGGAAGTGTCAAAGAGTAATTTGTTTAAGGATTAAACACTGTTTGTCTTCTCACTACAATTTTGAGAAGCAGAATTGACACTTCTTCCTTTGTTTTTGTCTTTTACTTTGGCGGCTGTTCAGAAAAGAGGGAGAGTATCAGTTTGTCAAGAGCAGAGCTGGTATTTCCAGAAACTCTTGCTTGGCCAAAACACTTGTCACCAGGAAGCTTTGAACAGAAATTCTCTTAGTCTTGCTTTCATTGGCTTGCTTACACACACACACACACACACACATACACATACACATACACACACACTTTATTAATTAATTTAGTTATTTACTTAATTACTTACATTGAGGATATCCCCATAAGGAGGTTTTGTCAGATTAAGTTCAGTTTTTATCCCCAAAATATGGTTAATGATAATGTGGATCAAATGTAGCTGTATAGTTAGTGTGTTTTACCCACATCTAATTTTGAATGACATTTATAATATTTATGATAATGCAAGTCTTAGATCTTTGAGTTCAGCTCATGAAAAATGGGGGCAAAAACAAAAGTGTTGCGTTTATAATTTTGTTCAGTGTAGATCATTGTGTGGCTGCAAGGATTGCATAAGACAGACGAGGTTGGTGAACACTTCTCTAGTCTATAGAGCCATTTCATGACATATTTACCCCTCTCTAGAAAATAATGAGTAAATCATGAGAAAAAGCGGTATGTAGATCTGTTGGAAGAGTCATAAGTAATTTAACACCCCTCATCTCCACCCCCTTTAAACTGGCACTAGAGCTGCCCTGTCATTTCCAATAGAGCACATTAGACAATTTCACCTATCATCTTTCAAATTCATCTTTCATCATAATGTGTTATTTGTCATTTTTTGTAATTATTTGTAAAAATTCACTTGCAATTTCTGAGTGAAAACTGTTTCTGCTTTTGTAGTGTTTCTTTAATTTAATATATTTTGTCTTAATTGTGATGTTTATTTATTTTTTGGTAGACATGCAAAACCACTCAAATCAGGGATTTAAACTATTTAGACATGTCCTAAATTTTGATAACAGGGTTGTAAGAATGGCAAATCCCATAGAAAATGAATAGAAAATCTCCTATAAAAATTTTTGACCATTAATGATAACTATTTTCTTCATTCTAAGCACCTCCTTTTACGGACCATTTGTTCAAAAAGGAAAATATATCCTATAAGCTATATAATTTTAGAGATGCAAAACATATTTTGTATACATTGCAAAGTAAACAAACAATCAAACAAACAAATAAATAAGTGCAGAATTTAACTATAGCCTACTTTGAAACAGTTTTCACTCATAAATTGCAAGTACATTTTTTACAAATAATTACAAAACATGACAAGTAACACATTAAACATGATAGATAGATAGATAGATAGATAGATAGATAGATAGATAGATAGATATAGATTGATTGATTTAGAGAGAAAGAACTAGTATCGTATGAAATAGTATACTGAAATAATATAGTCTTGTAAAACACACTCCAAATAATCTTTGTTTTATTTACAACTCAGAAAAATCCTTAGAAGAGTACCCTGTTGGTAGAAAGTGGCATCTGAGAGCACATTTCCAGGCAGAACTGATTGATAAATCTGGACATTCAGGGTTAGCAGTAATTTGCTTTCTGCCAGTGACAGGCTCTTATGTCTCGTTTCGGAGCACAATGGGTTAAAGAAGACTAACTCTGACTCTGCAGGCTCGAGCAGCCCTCCCTCCCTCCATTAGCCTCTTCCCTCGGTTCACTTTAGGGGGGCTCTGTATCAGCGAGGTTGGCGCACGGGACTTTTTCGGGATAGGCTATGTATCAATAACTCCTAACCGGATAGGCCTCCACAAAGCGAAACCGCAAAAACACGCAGGCAAAACTTTGAGGCGCTTAACTGAGTTGAACGTCTGCTGCATTTGAGCCAGAATCCAAAACTACCAACACTGAAAACATGCGGAGATGTCGAGAGGAGCACAGCTACCGATAGGATCCCGAAGTTGGGACCTTTATGTCAAGCAATGAGAGGTAAGGACACAAAGGACGTTCAGATGGCTACGATTTTGGCTCTCGCGGGTCAAAACAAGATGTCCAAATCTTACTCTATTATTCCAGCTGAGTCACGCAAGCAATCGTCGCTTTCAACATTCACATCGACTGCCGCAATACCGCATTATGAAGATGCGATCGCTGCTAAATGGGCTCTTTATTCTTGTCCCACAACATCGCAAAGCATCTGAGTGATTTTAAGGGTGTGATTTACCTTCCAGATGAAAATCTTCAGTCAAACCCATGAGAGGCATATGAATTGTGGAAGAGCTGGTTCTCCACCCGGATTGAAAGTGGGTTTCTTCTGAAGCGGACTGCTAAGTAAACTAATTTATGAGAGAACAGAGGTATCTATTTTCATATTTATTTGAAATATAACGCGATATAGGCAACGTTACGTTACATTTAGACAAAAGTAGAAAACAAATCCATAGTACAACTTTTCATGTGGAAATTCTGTAGTTTTTTTTCAATGAAATAGATATCTTTTTCATATTAAAAAGATTCTTTGCATTGTGCCATCTCAGGCTGTTTTTTAAAATATATTATGAGATTAAATTATGAAAAAAATGAATGCTACAATCCTAAAGGACAATCCTAAATATATATAAATATATATATATATAAACGAGATATTTGCTTGTCATTACAGAATTTACTTCCTGAAAGCATGATGATGTCATTATGACATACCTTTTCTAATGTATGTAGTTCATAGTTCATGTAGTTACTTAATTGGTTCCTAGTATTTTTTCTAGTACTTTCTAGAATATGAAGCCGAATACAAAGCTGACCATATATGTATAACATACCATGCTGTTTACACACACACACACACATATATATATATATATATATATATATTGCTTTTAACAAAGTATTAGAAAAACATTAATATTTTAAATAAATATATTTTTTAATACATCTTAAAAAAAAAAAAAGTAAGTAAAAATGACAGTATATAAACAACCCCACTCTTTCTTTTGCTTTATTTACCCTCTGATGTGTTTGGATATGTAGACTGAATTTTTGTAAAGTCACCTTGCATTCAGATTGATGAGGGAACTCATTGTGTATTGTGCTCAGGTGCCAGCAGTGCTTATTTTTGAAATTCTACTCTCTTTGCACAGCATTTTGTGACCCAACAGACTCACAGCAGAAATGTGACGTTGAGCAAACTGCTGTTATTGATTGTCGTCTAAACCCAGAGAGTAGAATGTGTCACCACATCAAGGTCATACCCTGTGCACTATGAGAGCAGTTTCTCAGTGGTATATGAAGCATATGGCTTTGATGTGTGCATGTCTTTTTTATTCAGGTTCTATATAAAGTTATTCATAATTTTTCAGAGGAATCTAACAGTGGCTCTATGGCTTTGCCATTCAAAATACAATGTACAGACTTGTGCAATGACATGTGTAATCAACAACATAAAATAAACAGTAATATTTCTAGCCCAGTCTGATAAAAAATTATAGTTTTCATTGGTTTGACTGATCAAACCCATAGTCATACAGTCTCTCTAACAGAACACTGTTAAAAAAAAGAAAAATGTTCGAAGTGAACATTATTGGAGTGTTTTACAAGAAAATACTACTTCAGTCTTTCTACTCCAAAATTTCACCTTTAATTCAAGGTGTTACTTGCTATTTGTTTGTAATTACGTTTTTTTAATTTTTTTTATTTTATTTCCCCCCAGAGATATTTCTTACAGTTTACCAACAGAGTTGATAATGTTCAAGATATTATTACAGTATATATCTTCAAAATATTAACATTTGTTTGCTTGAGACTACAAATGATGTACAGTTGTGGTCAAAATTTTACATACAATTTGCAGTATCTGCAAAATGTTAATTATTTTACCAAGATAAGAGGGATCATACAAAATGAATGTTATTTTTTATTTAGTAGGGTACAACGGGGCTAAAGGCGCCCCGGGGTAAAAGGCGCCTTTGATATTATTTTCATCTAAACCACTAGATGCCACAGAAACGTGGCGTAGCACTTTCCAAAACATCTGCTTTTCAAGATGCACGTGTATTTTTGTCTGATCTTTGACGTTGAGCAAACTGCTGTTATTGATTGCGCAGCAGCACAAAGTTGATGCTGTGCTTACTTGATCTAATATTTCATGTTTTTTGAATATATTTTGATACAAAAGTCTTCTTAATGATTTTCAGTTTTAGGATAATTAAAGCAACAGTTTTTAAATAACGAAAGAATATGTATATTTGTGGTAAAAAGCGCCCCTGCTGTTGGGGCTAAAGGCGCACAGTAATTAACATTATAATTAATAGAGGGCTGACTTTTCCATTTGTTGACATGACATGGTTAGATTCAGATGGTAAATATCATATATTATGTTGTGTGTCCATATTAGAGATAATCACCTTGTTTAGAATGAAACCATCATATTTAAAAACATGAAATTAATCATATCATATAATAAAATATCAATTGTTGTTACTACTGTAATATATATTCAATTATTATTGGATCTCCTTCAATACTTTCAGAATCTTTACTTATTAAAACGATTTTGTTTCTGTATTTTAAAATATTTATTTTTTTATATTAACATATTTTAATGACAGTATATTTATTGAAAAAAATTAATTATTTTATTTTTCAAGATAAGCAGAAAATAGTCAATACAACATATATTTTTTTTTCTGCAATTATACATTTTAGGCGCAGTGAATGGCACATGGTTTCTTAAGGTGGGCCTTTAGCCCCGTTGTACCCTACTGACCTAAATAAGATATTTCACATAAAAGATGTCTACATCGTTTACCATCAGTCAAGGGACTGCGGATATAAAATAGCCTTCTGGCTAATTCTGGCACATTGTACATTTATGCATTATTGATGTGCATTGTCCGTGTCAAATAAACCTGAAATAAAATAAATAAAATAAAATAAACATATAGTCCACAAGAGAAAATAACAGTTGAATTTATAAAAATGACCCAGTTCAAAAGTTTACATACGCTTGATTCTTAATAGTGTTGTTACCTGTATGATCCACGTGTTTTTTTTTTTTGTTTTTT